TGAACAAAATAATTCATTTGATCCAGAAGACTCTAATAATGAGTCATTGTCAAAGAAAACAGCTGGTTCATTAGAGAATAATATTTCATCAAAAGATCGTGTCACAAGATCTAGGTCAAAAAGTTTATTGACTCCTACTATTGATGCCAGTCACCCATTTGAACCAAACCAATCAAGTTCTTCTAAACACTCAACAAGTAGTACATCAATAAATATTTCTAAGCCAGTAAAATTCGTAAATTACACGAAAACTGCTGCTCAATCAACTGTATTTGAAAACTTGATAACAAACAGTCAAGAATCTAATTTGACTATAACACAAAACAAAATGATGAGTAATTCTTGTTTGGAAGACCCGAGTAAAATGCAAAATGATCAAATGAATATATGTGCAGATTCAGATGAATTATTATCTGATAGAAAATCGATTAGGCGCTCTAATCGTTCTTTTAAAAAACATGGCATCATTGAAGGGGCAAGTCTAAGAAAATCAAAGAATCTAAAAGATAAACTTGATACAAAGGATTCTTTAAAAGGTTCTAGTTCTATGGCTGAATCAATAAATGAAAACAGTATGGAAGTAGCAAATGTTTCAATTGATGAAAAATTACATGAACAAAATAATTTATTTGAACCAGAAGATTCTTATAATGATTTATTGCCAACTATAAAAGATGGTTTATTAGAGAATAATTCATCAAATGATCGTGTCACAAGATCTAAGTCAAAAAGTTTGTCAACACATATTGTTGTCAGTAACTCATATGAACCAAAACAATCGAATTCTTCTAAACACTCAACAAATTCATCAAGTTTAACACAACATTCAAGAAATATTACACATAATAATAAAACATCAGTATTATTGAATAATACTATTGGATCATCAAAACTAAAACGCAAATCTATTGAGAATGATGAACAAACAACTCCAAATGAATGTTTATTAAAAAAAATTAAATCAACTACTCATTTAGCAGGATCTGTCCATAAAGATATTATTGCAGAAAATATAGTAAGAACAATTGTGAAAATGTCAGTTAATAAACGTAAATCTGTCCATCCGGGGGTTTTCCAATTTGAAACCCCAACAAAAAGACAAAAAACATTTTCACTTGATCAAAGTAATTCATTTTTAACTAAATTTTTAGCTGGAAATAAGAATAATGAACCGGAATCAACATTACCTGCACTATCTTATTCAGAATCTATTATTGATCAGTCTCAAATTGAAGAAAATGTTACAAAAAAATTTAAGTCTTTATATAATAAAGAATCATGGATAACAAAACGTCTTTATAGTTTTTTAATAAATAAGTTACAACCTAAATATAGTATCTATGCTGTGAAGCATGCAGAACATTTTGTCAAGTACTTAGCATCAAGATTAAAAGACATTCTTTATGATAAATTGGATTTTGAACTATGTTCAGATATGCTTCGGTATCACATGGCGAGATTTGAAATTATCAATACTACATTTGATTATTTAGATTTTTTATCAAATTACATACCAGAGCAATATTTTAGAAAGTTAGTTCCTGAATCGTTTGATCAAAAATTTGATTCAAATAAGTATTTTTTACCTATTATGGATGATGAAGAATTCTTATTTAAAGTTATGAATCATCTTAATACCAATTAGTAATATACAAATCTAAAAAAAAAAAATGTATTGTATAACTATATATACTTATTAATATTTATATAGTATTTTCATTTTTGTGCCAATCATTTTGAAAACAAATACTATTAACTGCATTGAATTATATTTATCAATAAATTATTCAAAAAGTTATAATTGCATTAAAATTGATTAAAAAGGCTAAAAGTTCAAAAAACTATAATAAAAAAGTATAAAATATTGGATACATAAATTAAAGAATACATTTTTTCAATATGAAAGAAAAAATAAATTATATCTAAACATTTTTTTAATCTTTAATTTATTCCATTTTGTATAATTAAATATAATTATATGATCACTAAATATACTTTTTTTTAGTAAAATGTATCAAAATTATACCTATTGGGGTTGTTTTTAGAAAATGATAGCTATCTTATGTATTTTGAATAGTTTTTCCATTTCAGTTTATTACTTATCTTATTAAATTGACAAATTAAGATTTTTCACCCTTGAAAAAAAAAATGGTGTATATATGTATATTAAAGAAATAATTTAATTTAAAAAAATAAATATGAAATTATAATGGCAGTTATTGTTCTATTTCTTCAGAAATAATACAACACAATAGATGTTTAAATTTTATGTATTGTAATTAAAACTAATTAATAATTATAAATTGTAATTTTACAATTCGATAAATTGTAAAAAATCAAAATATATTTGTAATCACCAGTTTATACAAATTAATTGAATTAAATTATTTTTTTGTTTGTATAATGAAAAGGATAAAAGAATAATTATTTTAAAGTTGTAAATGAAAATGTATTGTAAATAGTTATAATGGCGGTTTGAATAAAAGTATTTGAATTATATGTTTGTTGTTTTGTATTTATTAAATGAAAATAAAACAATTAATATTTTTTTGACTACACATTTTATTAAATTATATTTCCACTTAAGTCTTATAATACATAATCATGTTTTTGTATACATTTAACTCATACATAGTAGTTGATAAAACTTATATTTTATGAATAAAAAAAATCATTACAATTACGTAAATTTACTATGAAATCATCTTGAAAGTTTTAAATGTATTTAAAAGTAATTAAAATTATATTTTAATATTTAATCAATGAACACAATTTATGGGTATCATATAGTATGTGTTTTACTTGTCAATGCAGTCTATCAGGTTATATATGACTAATATGTGCAACAGTAGTTAGTATCTTTATTGTGTGCTACAGACACTGTGTTAAAATTCCAGCTATCTCATGAAAATATGGTGGAAAAAAATAAATGTACAGAATATATTTTAAAATTCAGATATTACTTGGACTAATAATTTTTAAATGATGTAACATTTAATAGGCATTATAATTTTTCATTGCTTGTAAACTTTTAGTATACGTAAAATTAATGGTAGACTAACTACTTAATTTGTAAATTCACTGATTAACCAAATACTATATTTGTACATTTATCGACTGACCACATACTATATGATAGTCCAATTCGTTGAGTTGTAGGCTTTAATTACATACAACCAACTTAAGACTAAGGAAAATACTTTAACAAATAATCGGTCATTGTCGATATACACTCTGTACATAGACATTTATCATGGTCTCAGCTGTGCTTAGGTTGATTATCTATACCCATTTGGTGTCTGGATGTTGGTACATTAATCATTTCTTGCATGTTTGTTTGATACATAGGATTTGAAGTCTGATTATGATTTCTGTTATGTTGTGGCCAAGGTTCATGCCCAACACCACCTCTAACAATCACTTGTGACTGAGCTGTAGGATTCGGTGAATAACGTTGATGTTGTTGTGGATGCCTAGAAGGAGGCACTACATAATTTTGATGATACCGATGTTGCTGTTGCAAAATTTGATTATCCATGGATGGCAAATAGTTAGATCTAGGATGCACTGATGTATCAACATGATTTGAAGTATGATTAATAGGAGGGACAGGAGCAACTGCATTTGCTCTGTTTTGAGGAACCAAAGGTATTGCTAATCTAGCATTAACAGCCAATAAATGATCTCTACGTCTAGTAAACGTAGCTAGTTCTTTTTCTAAATCAACATTTTCATTTTTTAATTGATATAAACATGACAGTAATGATGCTACATCAAAATGTTGAGCTTGTTCCATTAACAATGATCCACCTTGTTCCCACTGGCGCTCAAGTAGATCTTCTAAACTTTGAGAACTATTAATAAGTCCATTAGTTAACCATTCAGAACCAGAAGAATTAGACTGTGGTGTATCCAAAGGTTTTTGAACATGGCGATATAATTGAGGGCCCATTAATGGTTGTCGAATTGTTGGTCCATTACATTCATTGAATTGATTATGAGTTTTAATTTCTTCATTTAATGTGTCAGTCATTTGTTGAGCCATACTGGAATTTGGATTTAAAGCATTTCCTAACATATGTGGAGCATCACTACTGGATTCATAATATTTCTGATCATTTGCTTCTTTAGTTTTAGTAGTAGAAGAGTTAGACAAATTTATCATATTTGGATCCTTAATCCATGTATTTGTCATATTAGCTGGAGGCATATTTGAATTTCTGGATATACTTGGATCTATACAAGATAAATTTGGTTCTTCCATGATTTTTAATCCATCAGACTCTAATCCGTCATTTGATAAGCCAATATCAATAGAATTTTCAATGTTTTCACATTTTATTTCTTTTTCGGATGGTAAATCAGTAGGATATTGTTTAATACTTCCAACTGATACACTTTCCATTTTACCTTTAATTTGACGATTAGGAGCTATAGCTTGAGAATGATTAGGAGATATATTAAGAACACTTTGTGGTTTATCTTTAGTTTCTTCAAATGAATTAACTGATGTTGGCTTTCTTTTTGATTTCATTTGAATATCATCACTGTTAGTGCCTTGAGTAAACTCATCTAGAGATATTTCAGAAGCATTTTGTGGACGATATGGAGCAATATGTTTTATTTTTAAATTACTACTCTTTTTAAGTTTTGAATAATGATGTTTACAGTACCCAACGTACTGTACGTTGCGTCCATGATTTCCAGCTTCTTCACATAGTAATCCAACATTCTGGGCACAAGTTACATGGAATCCTAATTTACAACCACTTTTTTTGCAAGTCATGCAAGCACCATAAATCGAAACCTTAGGTTCTCTGTTCTTTTCTTCACAAATATAACAAACTTTTTTAAACCTATCAGTTGGTATTTCATTTAACTTAATTGGTTCCATAATATCAACATCTACAAAAGTCACTTCTGGTATGAACAAAGCACATACAACATGGGCCCAATTTCCATTTTCCGTTGGTTTAAGAGCACCATCTTTAGATGGACATAATTCACATATTACTTTAGCATTTGGATTTCTTTTAAGAGCTACACACTTATTGCAGTACCAGGAACCTTTTGGTACTACTCTAATTCCATAGCAAGCTTTATGCACAGCAACATTACAGTTTCGACCATCACAGTAGACTAAAGGATTGTCGTCAAATGCTTTGTCTTCACTACATACACTGCAGTTACCCAACATTTCTTTCATTGTTTTACCTGAAAAATAAATACAATTAATGATTTGATAGTATATACAATTTTAACATTACCTAATTTAATTAATAAAAAATAAATATCTATTATCATAAAATATATTTTATATTTAAAATGTATAATAAAAGATTTTTATAGGGGTCAACAGGCTCATAAGACAAATTAATTTATAAATCCAAATAATTAAATAAGGTTGTAAATTTAATTAATTATGTATGCATTTGATATATATTTAGATTGATAAATAAGTGAAAACATTCAATTGAGTAGTTAATTGAAAAAACAAATACTGTTCAATAACAATCATAATTAACCTTCTACATAAACTAGTGCAAAATAAGTTATTCTGATGAACATAGATAACATATTTTTAAGTATCCGTTATCTATAAATCAATATCATATTGATTGTGTAAACTGGGTATAAAAACGGTGATGAATTCAGTTAAACAAAATTACGTCACATTATACTTACGGTTCATATGAGAAATAAGAAGCTTGCATCAATCGTGAAATTACGGCAACGGCAATAACAGACAAACATTAGATATATGGTAGAATTCTACGTTAATATCGACATGATAGTGTTGAACGGGCAAAGGTAACGAACGATCTACTTAGTCGGAAATCTCTGGGACTATTCGTTTTGGTGACGATATTTTACAAGCACATTGACAACTAATCTTCACAGCGCTTGAGGACGGCCAGAGCAAGCGTCGAGTTTCATATGAAATGCATAAGTATATTATCGGCAATCATTTAATGTTAACCGATATTGCACCACGGTCCAGGGTGAACAAATTTAAATATCCGAAAAATCAAAGACGCCAAATGAATGGTGCAACAACGAAAACAATCAAAACACACGCAGTTCATGGGTAACTGGTTAAGAATATCATTCACAAGTCGCAGTGGAGGCAGAGGCGGCAGCCAATACTGCGGTCGTCGACCGGGATAAGAGAACATTTTATAGTTGGTATAACTTAATGAACCGTGGTTCACCTTTTAGTTGTTTCTTCCATGGACAATCGTTGGCAATCCCGTCGTAATCGGCCGTCGTGAGACGTGAAGTTGCAGAAAAAAAAAGAAAAAATCTAACGGGGATAAAAGAAAAAACAAATCATCATCTGCCTTTTCTTGTACTCTTGTTTTAATTTTAATCCACTACTGTTATTTTATTTTGTTTTTAAGTCTACTTCGTAATAAGTAGTCCGGCTTGACCATTAATTTAATTTCCGATTTCTCGCCGCTGCTGTCGTTTCTGCTACTTACATTAAATGTCAGACACATATATTTGACGAGGAACGCGTGTAGTTCACACGAAATTATTTGTTCATGACAAGAATACACCACAAGACGACGGTGACGGGTGAGACGGAACTCGTGAAATGTCACGTCATGAAGGTAAACAACCGACGGTATTCAGTAATGTTATGTAACGCGATCAGCCAAATGAACGCAGAGTGTTATCGTTTTTGTTTTACCGACGATGGTACAGCCAAATTATAGTCTTATGGGTTTCGACTTGTCCCTTGTAATTTTATATGTTCCTGTTCGAACAAAGTTATTGCAATAATCGTTTTTTACGAAATGCCCACATATAATCAATAATAACATCGATTTAACAAAATAAATTTAATCAAATACTTTTTTTTGTTTTATTTGTAATAAGTAGGCATTAATTTGTACATTGCTCATTATGAATGCCTCTTAAGTAGAACAGAGAAGAGTAAATAATGAGAATTTTCATACCAATGTGATCAAGTTATGTTTTAGAACAATCTATAAATAAATTTGGGTTGTACAATTTTTCTTTTATTGTATTCGACATTTTTTATAATCAATTAAATTTTTTTCAGGTATTTTTATGTGTAATTTCATGTAGTTCTTTATGTAATTAACTTATTATTAATAAAATATTTTTTGTACTAGTTTTGTCTATTTAATACTGTTACGTGCCACCGGCTCGATTTCAAGTAGTGCAGTCGATGATGTATTTAAATTTAATTAATAAAATATGAGACTTTAACTTAAACGTTTATTTCAATATTCAAAGTGTTTAACAAATTATAACATAGAGTGACATGAAGTTGCTTGTAGTTCCTTGACTAGAACTCATCTGAATTGTGGTCATTTCGATCCCTCTTTTATATTGATCGATTAACGTCATAGGACTTGTTGTTTAGCAGTATCCAGCGATAGACCTCGTTTCCAATATAGTATTCTAGGAATATAGATTAATCTTCGCCGCACTTTCCAATTATTATTAAATATAACAATATGCCGTCTTACGCAATATAATAATTGTAATATTGTGTTGCACCTGTTTCTATTTATTCATGATTAGGCTATACATGGTAGCCCATAACAATACACTACTCGAAATATATTTATTTTATTGAATAAGCAGTAAAAATCATATAATATTATAAATTTTAATTACTTTGGAAAACTCAAAAGTGTAACCTAATAAAACTATTATATTGAGTATATATCAATTCTTTACTTTTATCTATTAGAGAATTAATTAAACATGAAAATTATGTAAGGATTAAACTGTTATAATTCATTTGGAGAAAAAACATAATTATTCTATGTTAAGTATTAAAATCTGGAATATATAAATTGCCTTAAAAACTATATTAATTTTAAAATGCAGATGATTGTTAAGTTAACAAATAATCATCTAAGTACAATAATTCTAAGATCAGATAATTCAACTTATGTTACACAGATCCAGTTATCTACTGATTTACTTCAGTTTTTAGATTTTGATGATTGTAATAATAAATGAGTTTCAATGCAACTCTATAATAAAATGTTAGAAAAATATATAAAATTGCTTGCACATAAATTGTAAATATTAAATCTCAATTATTTTTAAATTGAACCTTAAAATCTTAATAGTTATTAAGTATCCAATTTTTTTTTTTTTGGTTATATATATGTTACGGGCAAAGTATACAATTTGGGCATTTTATACATTGTCCGGACAGTATATAAAATGCCCTTCGTATATTGGGCAATATAGATAACAGATGATATGATTTAATGAAATATGATAAATCGTAAAACAGTTAAAATAAAGTCAAATTATTATCTAAAAATTATTATTTGTAACTAGTTTTTTTTTGTTATCGTATTTTTACAATGGGGATGTCTGCTTGTCTACATATTATACGCGTGTACATGACATAATATATTATTACTATATTTACTGATTTATAAGTTATATTATATGAAGTTGTAGTGATTATCGTGCAGTCGGCCTTTTACCTATTATCAAAAATGAACTATTTAGTAACCGTGAATCATTTGTGTAGTGCAGGTTATCTCATTCAGTGTGTACCTAACTATTTATTCAAATATGGAAAAGTTTAATGATGATTTAAACAATTTAATAAAAAAAAATAAAGTGTTCAAATACTTTATTTTTTACCAAATTAAAATTTGATCAATTAATTTTACATAAAAATCAATTAAAAAAACAATTAAAAGAAAAAGGAACCGAATGATAAAAAAAACTTTTAAAAAAATATGACGTGTTAAAAGTTTCTGATGTTAATAAGTTAATTGTACCAGTATCTGAAAACAACGAAATTAAATATTATGTACATAATGAAGATTTATATGATGTTATACATAAGGTTCATTTATCGATTGGACATGGTGGACGAAACAGGATGGAACACGAAGTAAATACAAAATTTAAAAATATCTCCAGAGATATGATTATGCTATATTTAAATAGTTGCGAATCATGTAAAAGAAAAGGAAGCACAGCCAAAAAAGGATTGGTGGTGCAATCAATTATATCTACTGAGATGAATTAATCAATAATATAAATACCATTATTCATTGATTTATCATACTTCATTAAATCATATCATCTGTTATCTATATTGCCCAATATACGAAGGGCATTTTATATACTGTCCGGACAATGTATAAAATGCCCAAATTGTATACTTTGTCCATTACATATATAAAGTCTAATAATACCACTCGTTTTGTGTCTTGTCCCCTATTACATTTACTATGTTAATTTAATAAATAAATATCAAAATTTTAGTTTTTGGTATTATATATATATATTATCCATTGCAGATAATTAACAAATTATTTACTCTCATAAAAATATATTTTGTATTTTAATATCTGTAGATAATTAATAAGGTCTTTAAATCTTCAAAAATATTTTTTCATTAGGTATAATTCAACGAAAAAAAAGTTAAAAATGATTGAATGGGATATTGAAGAGTACAGTTAACAAATTTACTTTGGATTCAATTTAAAGCTTTAATTGGAACTATTATAAATTTTATTAATAATTTTATGTATAAATTGAATAAAAAGTAATGGATCAAATAAAAAATAGACAAAAAATGACTAAGTACCTAATTTAAATATTGATTGACATGCAATGTATTTTCAGTTTAACATACTTAATTCACTAATTGTAAGATATTATTTTTATCTTAAAACTATATTAGTATTCACTGTATCAAATTATATTTGAATTTCAAGATCAGTGTATATTATATTATTATAATTTTTCATTATTCATTGTTAGTGAATTTAATTTATAAGTAGTTTCTAAATTTTAAGTAATATTAATTAATGTAGTCTAAATGTTTGTATTTATTTTTATTATAGGAGTCAGCTGTGATGCATGTATGAGAGGAAACTTTAAAGGACGTCGTTTCAAATGTTTAAAATGTTACGATTATGATCTGTGTGCTGACTGTTACGAAGCTGGCGCTACTACACCACGCCATTCAGTTGATCACCCCATGCAGTGTATCTTAACACGTGCTGACTTTGAACTTTACTATGGTGGTGAATCATTGGCATCAGACCAGCCTCAAGCATTCACATGTCCATTTTGTGGGCGTATGGGTCTCACTGAAGCAGTGTTAACAGAACATGTTACTGCTGATCATCCTGATTTAACTACCGAAGTTGTAAGTTTCTTTAAGTTAGGATATATATTTTACAAATACTAATTGTAAGTTAATAATTTAGGTTTGTCCAGTTTGTGCAGCACACCCAGGAGGTGATCCAAATTTGTTAACTGATGATTTTTCTGTTCACCTACAAATGCAACATCGTGCCAGTCCAAGCGTTCCCAGGGATTTAATTTCATTTTTAATATCCTTTTTATTTCAGTTGTATAAATATATCTGAGTATATAGTTGAAAGTTTTCTAAATACATTTATTTCTTCCATATTTATAATTCATACTTAAAGAATTAAAAATATTCAGGAAATAAGTTAGATTTATTCCAAATAAAAAAATTTAGTCTATATTTTTATACCTTAAGTGATTTATTTATATATAGTTAATCATTAAATATCCAAAGTATATTGTGTTTTCTTAACTAAAGTTATTACGATGAACCAACTGTAGCAAGACATTCAGTTCGACGTATACCTCAATCATCAAGGGGTATGGGAAGTACTAGGGTTCGAAGAGCAATCAATTTCAGGTACCGGGCAGCAAAGTACGGACAATTTAATTATATCCTTTCAAACAGTAGTCTTGATGGCTTGAAATTCGATAAAGAAATTAAATGATTGTTTAATTAATCTGGTTATGCATCTGTTTTGTTGCTATATATATATATATATTTGCTATTTTTGAATAACAATTTTTTAATTTGAACATATATTAAATTATTGATGCCTTACAAAAAATAGTTAGCATTTGTAAACTTTAATCATAATGATAAATTGTTAATATTATTAATTGATTTTTAATGAATTTTAGTGGTGGAACAAGAGATGGTTCAGATCCAATTGCTGAGCTATTATCACAGTTAAGTGGAGTTCGTAGAGCACAATCAAATAATGTGCCTGGATCGTCAACAAATAACTCACAAGGCACTAATAATGTTTCATCACAACTGCAACAATTGCAAATGCAACTACAGCTTGAAAGACAACAAGTCAGGGTATTGTATAATAATAATAATGCCTAAGTTTTGATGCTTAAATAAACTTTTATCTTATTAAAAATAAATTATATTATCAATTATTAAAATTGTTATATAATAAAATATTTTCATTTGCAGGCTGCTAGACAGCAATTAGAACGTTTACCCCGTCGTCAAGGTCATGGCTCATCTGCAGCGGCATCATTGGCCAATAATAATATAGTTGGATCAGCAGTGCCAACACAATCTGCTGGTTCATCTTCTAACTTACTCAATATTCAAGTAGTTGATTCTAACTCAAACCAAAATCAGTCTACACGCAATAGCTCATCACAGTTTCTTATAAAGTATGTTCGTGTTAAAAATTAAAGACAAAAAAAATATAAATAATAGATACATGTAGTAGAGATGTTTTAAAATATATTATATTTATAATTTCAATATTTTCATATCTATCATGAAAATGTATTAATATTTATTACCATAGAGATTAGAAATTATTATAACATTATAATGTTGATCTTTAACAGCCTATATTACTATTGCTTACTTTATTGCTCCCAATCAAAGAATTAATAAAATATCGCTTATTTTTAGTTTTCATTATAAAGTATTGATTACTTATTTTTCTATTAGAAGACAATTTGTATTATTGTTTTAGATATATTGATGCACCATTAACTGAATCTGAACAACAAAAATTGGATGTGGACCGGGCTGATCGTAGTTTCTTTATGCAAGAATTATTATTGTCCATGTTAACTCCAAATGGGACTATGCCTGCAACAATAAATGCTAAGAAAGACCAATCACCTCTGGCCACAGCTGCTCAACCTCCGGTATCTCAAGCATTAACTAAACCTATAGTTCCAGATACTAAACAACGGCAAACTAACAGCAGACCATCGCCACCACCTTCACAGCAATCAGCCAATCATGTTATGGGCGTTCCTCATAGATTTTCTTCACCGCCTAGCCGCAACCGACAATCTGTGATGCAGTCACAAATTCCACAACCAGCATCTAATGTTCGAAAACAACCCAAAGTCACCGATCCCTCACCATCAAATTGAATTAATTGGAAAGAATCTAGTTGCTGCTTAACAAGTTCATAATGAAATGTCTAGTCGTGTACTGGTGTTGTAACACTTTTTTGAAATTAAAATAATATATTTAGATTGATATTTTTTTCTTTAGATTTCAGTTTAGATATATATATATTTAAATATATATATATATTTATTAAAGAAAAATAATGATAACTAATTATGAATGATATGTTATAATAAAATATATATATATTTTTGTGTACTAAAAGAAAAAAATACTGGTGTTTGAATAATTTAACATTGATTTATCGCTTAAATTATTTAACTTATCGCTTGAATTCATATGTGTTCAGTGTTTCAAACGATATTTCTCTATTGTGATATTGGAATTAAACATTTTGTTAAGAACAAAATTGTAAAAGAAGCTAAAGAACTTGGTAAATATATTGTAAATAGATTTAGCCATTGTTAATTTTTCTTTTGAAATTATAAGTTATATAAATATGTATTCAGTAATGTTTTATTCATTGTTTTGGAATAAATTTACTTCCACTTTTTACACATTCTTGAGTTCATGATTTTAGTTTTTAAAGTATTTTTCATTGAAATAAATAAGTAAAATTGTTAATAATTGTAAAAGCATAACTTTCATTTAACAACCTTACTGAATAGGTAATATATACTCATTAATTAATTTTATATTTTAATTAAATTTACTATAGATAAATTTTACTGTTTATATTTTCAATTGCTTCTAAAATTTATATTAACATATTTCTTTTTAATTTTTGTATTCAAACACATAATTTATTAAATATAATTATAATATAATTCTATATTAACTTCTAAAAATATTTCATAAAATTTATAACAATATCTAATATTTTACATACCCATTATAACATACCATACCATTATAATACTAATTTATATATTATACTAAGAAAATTTATTTTTTTAATTAGTGTATTATAAATTAAAAATAAAATCCCACTTCCACCTATAATAGTAAATGTGTTATGAGTAAGCATATATTAAAATAATTTATTTTTTTTTATTAAAGTAAATAACTTAGCATCAGTAAATAAATATAAAAAAAAGATATAATAAAGATATTTAGTCCCTGCACTAACCTTTATATTTTCTTAGAACATGTTTAATAAGTAATAATTTTTTTATGATTCATAACTTTTTCTAAGGATCTTAAATTTTCCCACCAGTTGGTTAATTCGTTTTGAACAATTAAATTAAACCATGGTGTAATAGGATGATTCAAGTTCTTTAAAAATGTATAGATTTTTGTTTTAGGAATATATAGGGCAGTATTCACTTCATCTGGATTGGGATCCAATGTAACGTCTTTGTGGAGAATAAATATGTAATCTATTTCATGTTCACCCCAAGTTCCATCTCCTTCAGACATATATCTAAATAAAATGTTTATTTTGTTAGACATAGTATTTTAACATATGTTAAAATTCTTACCTTATTCTAGTAATGTATTGTAAATCCTTTGGATGACATTGATCTTTAGGAATACCAAGTTCAAATATAAGTCTACGACAAGCAGCAGATTTAGCACCTTCTAAGTCATTGCGTTCATTCTCAATCTCGTATAGTGGATGACTGCAGCAGGAATTTGTATAGTGATCAGGAAAAGTGATTTTAGTTGATGAACGTTGCTGCAATAGAAGTTCATCTTTGGTGTTGAACAAAAATACACTAAATGCACGGTGCAATGGAATCTGTCCATTGACTAATCTGTGACAATCTCGTTTACTAGCATAACCACATTCACGGTCATTTTGGTCGACTAGAATGCAGCGCTCTTCAAGGGCAGCTTCTTGGACAGGATTTAATGGTTTAGGCACAGTTGACAAGAATCTCCGAACAGGTAAAGTGCCCAGTGATTTAAGAATAAACTTCATACTTAATGACCTGTTGAGAAATGCATGTACTAAAGTTTTTGATTTTTGAATAATTGAAAGGTATTTACAACACCAGTGTTGAACATGGAATGAAGTGTTCATAACAGAATAATTTATTCTATAAGAGTGAGAAAGTTTGAATAAATTAAATTCATTGGTTATTATAATAACTAAAAATAGATGCTTCTCATAGTAACTAACTAGTTAATTATGTAAACGTTGAAAAAATAAAACCCTATACATAATAACTTAAATATAATTGACATAATATAATAAAATCTAATTAATTTATACACTTGTGAATTTACATGACACATGTAATTATGCAATGTAAGCTACCAAGTCAATAATTTATACATAATAATTTCCTCATAGAACATCAAATTAAAATTAAATGACTGTGTTTTGTATTTAGATGAAATAAGTATTATTATTTTTTATTTTTGCAATATATGATATTTTTAAAATCAATTTCATCTAAGAATGTTTTATAGTTTAATTACTCTATTAAACAGAGTACAATATAAAGTTATGAAAAAATTAATTTAAATTAAATAAATTAAAAATGATTTATTCTGACACGTAATTACTTAATGATAAAAATATATTTTAAATTAATATTATTACATAATCGATTATGATAACACATTTAATTTAACATTAATTAAATAATAACAAAACTTTAAAATGTTAAAGAAAAAAAAAATGTAAAATGATAATATTACTTCAATTGACATTTGACTGTGCAAAGCATAAGAAATACTCAATTAACAATTATACAGTTAATTTATGAATACAAAATAAATAATAATAATAATGTAATGGGCGGAAAGAGAATTGTACATAATTTATTAGTACTATTTACAAGACGAGAATTTTGATTTAAATAAAATTAATTATGAACAAAAACAAAAAAATATTTTCATAGTAACTGTTTGAAGTGTGGAAGTATTTTAAAATATAAACTGACTTTACCTCGAAAAAAAAAAAAAATTGAAACTGGCTGCAAACGATAGGCTTCACATTTAAATGAACACTGAACAAAACATTAACCCAATACTAAAGGCATCGGGTTAAAACATTGAAGAGAAAATATTAATTAAGAAATCGTTTATCTTTTTGTTGGAATTTACCCATCCAACGGGGGCAATAGGTCAGTGTTGTTACTTGTAGTTAAGTAGTATATATACTTGTAGGCATATTTCCGCCATGATAAAAAAATCCAATCAGAACATTCGCTTTTTTGTCTGATATTTTATCTATTATCATGTGTTATCAAAGTATAAATCATATAATCACAAACCGACCAATAGGACGCGTTCCCACTTAAAGTTAAATTTCACTGAGATAACAATTTTCGACATTAAACACAATAAACAAAGGTCTATGACAATAAATGCGTACTCTCTTTTAACTTTTAACATTTTTAATGTCCAAATAATTTATTATTTTCAACGAATTAGATTTTAAATTCTAATTGATTTTTAAATCATACACGCACAGTACCTTGTATTTAAAATAAAATCAGTTGTTTTTTCTCTCTTACAAATCGCAGTTATAATTATTTATCAACATGAATGTTTGTAATTATAAAGTTTGCCAATCCTTTTCAGACGTAAAATCGGTAATCTCAACCGAAAACAATTCATTCGATGTCCGCATTGAATCAGAATTGCCGGAAACGTCGACTACAGAGAAATGTATATTAGGGATCGACGAAGCCGGTCGTGGTCCTGTCCTTGGTATGTACCAATAATACTAAGAATAATATATTTAATTTGGATCTTTTAATCTTGTTACAATAAAGTTACTAATTTCTTTAAAACTACAATGTATTAAACATTTTGTAGTCCATAAACATGGTTAACATGTTAACATAATAACATTATGTAATTTGATGTATAGAAAAAGAGAATTACCAAGTTATCAACACAGATGTCTAAATACATTTAAAAGTATCAGTAGCATATTATACCTAATTGTATACCAGTAGCAAACTAATGAGTTTAAATTTATAATGTATAGTATATAATCATAATATCACAATAAGTCCGGCTCAATAAATAAAATTGATACTGAAAATCGCCCTTTCAGCTCATCAAAATGTTATTATGAATGTAATAATAATTATTAAACTCGCTGATATATATACTTAAATCTGACCAACTGCTGCAGTAATTCTGCAAAAATAATTAATACAAGCAATCAATATACTCCATTTGCTATTAAATAATAGCAAATAATAATAATAATAATAATGTAATAAATTTTACATCTTTAATAAAGAAAAATTTAACTATTTGATCCAAAAACTTACATTTTATGTTGAATGGTTGTTCACACAAGACTATAGAGAACAAATTAATTCAATGTAATTTATACAGATGAATGTTGGTGTTTTTAATCACTCAATTAAATTATTTTAATACTCACCAACAGATTATAACAATTATTGAAAAATAATTATGTACTGTAAATTACAAATTAGACTTAAACTATAGGTTTATTTTTTCTTTAAGATTAAGGGATGAGTATTAGACTAACTTTAATTTTGAATATACTGTTGAACCTCGATAACTCGAAGGAATGTCTTGGCCCCTGTCTTACAATATATGATTTGCGTGATAAATTTTCTCGATAATTCGATTTTCACTAACTCAAATTTCTTAATAAGTCGAAGTAATTATAGTTAAATTTTGGCTTATAACTCAAATTTATATAATAATATATAACGCGTACATACCTCAATAATTCGAAGGTTAAATAACGATAACCGTAGTTGAAAACTGATTAATATTATCATTCTAATATTTACCTAATGCTTAAAAGTTACAGTTATAAATTCATCGATATAATATGGCTTTGCCTAAAACTACTCTTGCCCAGGTATTAGATAGTTGACAGGTTATATATAAGTACATTCAAGAACAATGAGAAATTAGAGAAAAGATTTTTTCGTGCTAAATGTTATTGATAACTTTAGAATTAGGTCAAACAATAAAAAACAATCAAAAATATCAGATTTCTTTAAAATATAGTTCTAATTTATTCATTACATTGTATTTTCTTTATTACATAACATTTATTACTTTATACTTTTTTAAAATTTTAATACAATATACATACCTACATACATTATACATTTATTAGTAAATATATAAATTAATAAAATCATAAAATTAAGTCTTTGTGTTTTTAAATAAAAAAAATTTTCAATATCTAACTGGAATTTTTTTTCCCCCCAACCGATTCGAGTTATTGAGGTTCCACTGTTTTAACAAATCAATAATTCTGTTGACAATAAAATTATTTTAAAGTTAGTTAAAATATATCTAATATAATTTTTTTATAATTGTCTTTCTTTAGGGCCAATGGTGTATGGAACTTCTTACTGTTCAATAGACAATCAGTCTGTACTAAAAACATTAGGATGTGCAGATTCCAAAGTATTATCTGAACAAGCACGTGATGAAATATTTGATGGAATTAATAATCAAGGCGATTTACTTGGATGGGCTGTACATATCATATCACCAACTACAATTAGCAATTGTAGCTTTAAGAGGTAACTTAAGAATTTATATTTATTTATGATAATAACTGTTATTTGTTTTAAAAATTTCTTCTCAGTTGTATAGAAAAGTGGAAATTATAAATATTAAGCTACACATAAAAAATTTGAATGGTGTACTTTATAGTGATTAAACAAGGAAGAAATCCTATATTATTACAATAATAATTTCTTTAACTACTTAATTTCTTACTGTACTAGCAGGTACAAAAAATATTATAGTTTTATTAATTTAATTTTTTAAAGAAATAATTTTATACGTTGGTTTCCAGAAAACATTGCCATAAGTGACTTTCTAAAACGCTTGGTCTTCAGGCTGAATACTAAATTTATGAATTAGATGTGTTTGAATTAAATTAAATTTTCTTGTTCCCCCTACTTAAAAAATAAATAATTATTTATATTAATTATTTTTATTTTTATTAATTTACATTTTATAACAGCAATATAATTTTTTTTTTTTTTTAGACTCATTCTAAGCTATTTTAATTTATGCCTCACCATGCCTCTCTATCCAGTATTATTTCTCTATCCCTGATTCCTAGAAGTTTCAGATCTTTGATACAATCACTCCACCGCTGTCTTTGTCATTCTATTGATCTTTTTTGGTCTGGTTTCACAATTTGACCTTATTTACTAATCTATCCTTCACTCTTCACACATGTCTTGCCCAGCTAAGTTTTCGGCTTTTCAGAACACCTACTATGTCAGTTTTATTAAACAGTTCTTTTAGTCCTGCGTTCAATCTTCTTTCATATTCATTGTTTTCTGTATTCTTTTTAGGATCGAAGATTTTTCTTAATATTTTCCTCTCAAAAATTATTAGCTTCTTATCTTCTATCTTCGTTGACATCAATGCTCCACATACATATAATACAATAGGTCTGACCAGGATTTTTATTGTCTAATTTTTGTTTTCCTTGAAAGTAATCTTGAATTGAACAGTGATACCATGGAGAAATAGCACTTATTCATTATTATTATTCTATGTTTGATTTCCTCATGGCTATTTGCACTTTCATTCATATCTAATCCAAGATATTTAAAGTTAGAAACTTTTTCGAATGTCATATATTATGCAAACAATACATCAATATCAAACATTATCAAACATCAATATAATTATTACTTTAAAAGAATAAATGGTATTTTGTGCATACATAAACATAAGTAATTCATAATAATTTTATTTTTATTCAGACAGAAGTGCTCTTTAAATGAAATTTCACACAATGCAGCTATTGGTTTAATACAACGTGTTTTGGATAGAGGTGTAAGTCTTTGTGAAGTATTTGTTGATACAGTTGGACCTCCAGAGAAATACCAAGTAATAATAATCTATTATTCTACAATATTTCAATAGTGTATAGACTATGTTCATGACACAAACTCTATTTGAAGTATATTTTAGTTTTTTAAACATGATGTAAATGTAGTCTCTTATAAATTACTGGAAAATGCCAAATTTATTAAAAATATAAATTTTAAAATAAGTGTTTTACTCTTAATAATTTATAATGTAAAGGTTATAAATTATAAGGTAAAGAGTTTCATATTTCATAATTTATAAATTATTCATTTTATACATTTTTAGGCAAAATTGTTATCAATATTCCCACAGTTAAAAATTACTGTATCCAAAAAAGCTGACTCTTTGTTTCCAATTGTAAGTGCTGCTAGTATTTGTGCCAAAGTTACTCGTGATGCGGCATTAAAACATTGGAAATTTATTGAGAGACCCGATGAAGATATTGACTCAAATTGGGGAAGCGGATATCCAAATGGTAAAACAAATTAAGAATAATTAAGTATTAACTAAAATAGAAAAAAAATATATTTAATTTAAAAAAAATTTAAGATCCAGTTACAAAAGAGTATTTGAAAAAAAATGTTGATGCAGTATTTGGATTCCCTAATATTGTACGATTTTGTTGGTCTACAGCAGAATTAGTACTAAAAAATCAAGCAGCACAAATAGACTGGTGAGTGTCTTTTATTTTTGTATAATATTATTTCATAAAATAATAAAAAAAAAATTAAAAATTATTAAATGGTTAATTCTCGTAAATTAATATATAAATAATTAAACAAATAGTTTATATTTAAAAATAAATAAACAAAATCTTGGCCTGGAATATTATTATATTTGTAAAGTACGACCAATTTTGAATTAAAAATGTATTGTTAGGTACATACAAAGTCAATTAAATTGTAATTTTTTTTTTCAAATTTAGATTGATTGAATATACCTGACAACAAATTTTTAATTTGAATCCGCTTTTACTTTATAAATATAATAATACTCCAGATTAACCTTTTAATTATTTATTTATTTCTATATATAAACTATATGTTTATTTATTTATGTATTAATATTATTTGTCTTCAGTAATATTTTTGTAATTTAATTTAAGTTCTTTAATTAAAGATTTCTTAACCAAATATGTATCATGTTTTAGGTCTGATGATGAGGAAGACAAAAATAAAACATCAGTACCAATTACATCTTTTTTTGGTCAAAATGGCAAAGAAGTACGCCAAAAAACTTCTTTTTTTGATGATAGAGGTCTAGTAGTAACAACTAACATTTAGTACTAATGAGCTGAACTATTATTGTATGTTTAATTTAAATAATAAATAATAATTAATGTTATTTTTAATATATAGTCTGAAGTATATCATTTTAAATAATAAATAGCTAGATTATAAATTTATGTGAATGCATTTAATATTTATATTGATATAATACTGTAGTACTGTTATTTTTTACTAAAACTTAAATGTAGATTAAAGTTTATTTTTAAATATAATGAGATAACTTTATGATGTAAAAATTAGTTTCTAAAGTATGAAATAACATAATATATGATTCAATAAACTAATATATGAATAATTATGAGTAATGTGTAAAAAATTAAAAATTTGGCAATTCTTTTAAATAGTTGTTAAAACAGACCATCAACCTAACTGGCCAAGCATAAAGCATAACCTATATAATATGTACACCCACAGTAGTAGGCAGTCACTCAAATTAGAAATTTTTATACAATCTGTAGTAAAGTCAATAATTGTAGACATTATATATCTATTACTTTATTGTGTCAAACATTTTGTTGCATTTCTTTTTATGTATATTGTATTCAAGGGTATAAGTTTTCTTACCACCTTAGCTTTCAATTAACAATATTTTTATGCCATACCCAAACAATATTGTAGTATTTTCAAGCATAAGGTATAATACAGAGCGCATTCTGTTTATTATGGTATCCCTGTGAACGTCTAATCCATATAAAGAATAGCATATAAGTATTACGAGAGTCCTACTAAGATTTACATTGACATTTATTATCATGTGTCTGTAGTTTATTAGTTTATTAAAATAAATGCAATGAGATGTTTGTATAAAAATATATTTCTAATTCATTTTTAGTTTTTAATTCTGTTAAAAACACAGTTTTATGAACTGCTGAGTCTGAAATGAAGTAAATAATTTTTGATGCTCTTCAGCACTTATCATAACACATATCTATGATTAAGCTATCACTAATATTAACTACAGTTAATTATTGCTAAACTATTCTAACTGTAGTCAATTACTACTAAATATTACATTAAATTAATTAAATTACTAGGTAATAATAATTTATTTAGCTAATAAAAATTTCTGTATATTATTGTACATTATATGGTTCAATAAATTAAATTTAACTATTTTATAATACCATATCTATAGATAATTTATTAATTGGTTTTCTTGATGTTTAATTTAATTACCATCAAGTCAAATTTTTGAAACTTTGGTTTTTTTTTCTGTAACAAATGTTTAGGTGTTTTTTAAATGTTAAATTAGGTACCCAATAAAGAATATTTAAATCCAGATCCTAACTATCATTACTACAAAAAAAAATAATAATAATAATAATAATTTTAATAATCTCTCATTATCTATTATGATTGAAGGTCATCCTATTAATTTCCCAATTAAATAAATAATAAATAACAAAGTATAATGAGAAAAAATTAATGTATTTATTTAACTGTTTGTATACTTCAAAATAAAAAAAAATTCTATGGATATTAATACTTATAAATCTATAATTTATCTGATTCAGAAGCTGGATGTTTGGTACAGGATGAAACTTCTTTAAGGTGTCCTCTATTAGTATTTATTTCATAAAGAAGATTAATGTATACTAGGTTCTAATAATCCATTATCCTAAGCTAGTTGTTATTTTAGTTAATTAAAATCACGTATATATATCTAATTATTTCACTATAATCTTGGTTTACTAATTGACCTTTTTATTTAAAAATAATATTGTGTCTAATCACCACACTGAGATGGAACATTTTTTTGGTACACTTCAAATAGGATTATATTTTTAAAATTTTTTAATTTCCTACACTTTTAGGTAAACCACTAGTAGGTATGTATAGGGTAATCCATTCCTCAAAGCTGGAAATTTTCAACGTACGAGAAATAAAGTCGCAATGAATCTTACCAGAATCGAAAACCGTAAATGGCTGTAAGATACCTTCTTGCTTGGATTTCGCTCGGACATTGATTCCCACGTTGGTTCACTTCAAAATTCGTTATCATAATTATACAAGTGTATTATGTTCATACGTTGAGTAGTATTGTCAGTAATTACGCAAAGTGTTTGATTGTTATTATTCATTAATTTTTATATTATATAGTTAATGTGATTATTTTAAACTTTTTTCAAATTAAAAAAATTGTATTATGAAGTAGATACCTATATATGCCTGGATACTATATGCCTTTAATTAGAATTAGGATTTTATTCTCTTGAGCAACTTTATGGTATCCTTTAACTTACCACAATTAGTGGCGTTGGTAAGGGGGGTTTGTGGCTTCAAAATCCCAGCTAAAAAATAAGTAGTTAATAATAAAAATAATTATTACCTAAATATATCAAACCTATTTAGTATATAGTCTAAAACTATTTGGTCTGAATATTTTTATTACATAGAAAACCTAAAGCTTTAAGGTCACTTACTTTATGAATTGCTCGATCATATTTTTAAGACTTCCGCGACAATTCTGTTATAACAGGATGATACGTTTTTCGTTCTGATTCGTTTGAAAAAAAACTATTCGTAGGTATTGCTCTGAAATAAGCCCGTGCATAAGGGATGGTTTTACTAAGAATATATCTAGTCGTCATTCTATAAAAGTTTAACTGACTTGAAATTGATACCTAGTTGTCTATTTTTGTTTAAACAGTACCAATTTTCTCGATTTGACGCTTTTTTTTTATCGAATTTTCGCGTATTTTCCATCTACTGTCAACTATCGCTGTAAATGCAGCCATCGAGAGAACGCGTTTTCATTGCCAACTCAGATGTTAAAGCAGTTCAGACATTTGTTGACCTTTATTGATTTTCGATCCTGATATTTTTGATCATGAATAGGCTTAGGGACTTCTAGCATTTGCATACTTTTTTTAATTATTGTTAAGTATAGCAGAGTGCGAAATAAATTCGTTTCTCTGTCCTATGATATCAGATCTAAAATTTGAATGAGCATATTTTTGCATATTTGATAGATTTTGCAGGAAAATACTTATTTTAACATTAATATGTTTATTTTGCATATTTTGACAAATTTCTCAAATTTTATTGTTTAAAATTAAAAACTATAGATACATATAACCAGTGGCGTAATTGTGGGGGGGGCAAGTTCCCCCCCTGACAAGTTTTTGAGAGATTAAGGTATAATTTTGCCCCCTCCCAGATAATCCAACAGTACAAATAGCATCTTTTATTAATGAAATCTTAAAGGTATTAATTAACAATATTGGTACCTAGTACCTGCTACCTATGATTTATGTTAATCTAAACCACAAAATGAGTTAAAAGACTTATATAAAATCAAACAATTAGATATATTGTATAAAATACATACAATAAAAATATGTTTTAACTTTCGAGGAGGAGGGGTGTCAGGGTTTTGGTAATAATAAATATATCATATTGCCCCCCTAGATTTTTTCCCAGTTACGCCACTGAATATAACTAAATATACAGTCGTTGCCAGATAAATTGAGACGGCGGCGGCGGCGCGATAACGGAAAACTAGCGGTCCTCCGTATTTCAATATTATTACTGAAAATACATCAATAAACCAACTATTGTTACCAAAAATATTTTACGATATTAATTTAAAATCATATATTCCGATAATAATTTTTTATTTAAGAACAAAAAGTAGAAATTGTAAAATAATATAATTAATATTATAATAACACATAATATTAATAATATGATGAAATAATAACAACATCTATATTCATTATTATAAACAAATATTGTTGATACGACTGAAGTGCTTGCGCGGTCAAAACACACCGGGTTAGGTTAGTTGTTTTTAGCAGTGTAGGGCAACCAGAACGGGAGAGAGAACAGAAAATTCTGCAGACAATTTTTTGCACTAAGCCGGGTTCGAACTGGTAACTGCGTGCGTCGTAGCTAACTGTGAGACCTTTGCACCACACTATCAGCGACTAGTTTGGGCTACACTTAATGAAAAGCGCAGTCGCCGCCGTCTCAATTTATCTGGCAACGACTGTACATATTTCAACCGATCGAAAAAAAAATGTACTAAGAGGACTTCTAGTAATATGATATCTGCAAACTACCTCTCATATCTCGTTATAATTTTTGTGTTAAGTATAAATAATACTATAAACCCGTATCAACCGTATAACCCGCTGGATATTGACCGGATGTCGATAAAGATAATAATAGTAATAATATTAATAATAATAATAATAGATTATTTGTTTAGTGTTCAGTTCAATCTATTATTATCCGTCGTTGTTATTGCGTCTCTCAACCACACGTCGAATTATACGGAAAACGTATGCGATAATTTGTAACATTGTGTTATGCCGAAAGTACAACAGTTTACGAGTAGCCGACTTCAAAGTTTTGTTTCAGAGTTTATAAATATATTTAAATCCAATGGACACGTTTTATTTTGTGTACTATCTGCTATTTTTTTTTTTTTTTAATGCATATAAATGCATATTATAATGCATATTTTAATGATTTTAGAAGCATATTTGCATGCATATTTGTGTATTTTTTTAGAGCTATAAGTCCCTAAGCCTAATCATGAATATTCCAACGTGTTATTTTTTATTGACTTTTTACCTAACATAACATATATAATTTTGAACTTCCCCTTCCCTTTGGATGATTCCTACGCACGGGCCTACTCCGAAACAAAATAGTTTAGACATTCGTTTGTGTACAGGGTTATAATATTATTTGTTTGATTCATTCCAGTATACTATCATTGTAGTTTTTTGTCGTGACGTTTGATGAAAACTTAGTATGGCTATTGTTATCCGGATCGTGTAATATATATATATATATATATATATATATACGACTATATAACGCATACATTTGTTATTTTTTTTATTTCCACGAATTGGTGCGGAAACTAGACATATAATAGGTACGTGCTACAACAGCGGCGACACACAACGCGAGTAGGTACCGTTGATTCAGGTTCAATCCCCTCGACGAAAATCCCAACGCCGCGGCGTGTACTGTTATTTATTTACATATTAAAATAAATTAACACGCGTGAAATTTCAGTTTTTCGGTATAACACTTACTGCCAGTGGCATATTTTCTGGGGGGTG